TTTTCAGATTGTTTTGGCTATGGATTTCTGTCTTCATTCAAATCCATGTTCGTATTCACAGATATTATAATGTGATCTACATTGCAGGGTGGTACTGAGCCTTTGTCGAAAAAGAAACGTGAGGAACAGACTGGACAAACTGACAAGGCACAGAATATGACCAAAGAATTTGAATCTACAGAGCACAAAGAAAGTGAGTTAGAGCAGGAAGATGATTATGATGGTGAGGGAACATATGGTTCTGGTCTCTATTATGAGAATATGGATGAAGCACAGAACTACGAACAAGATTATGGCTATGATGAATATGATTGATACTGATATCTCGGATTCAACTTCAGTCATACAAGATTGTAAGCTAGTGTATGTTGTCATTAGTTATAGCTGATCTTAATGTATTTTGCTGCCTTGTATTTATATGAACATGATTTTGCTGTCCCACTTGGTCAATGCAGCCGTTTGATTAAATCATGAGTTCAAAGAATGTCTAAATGATGTGTACATGTAGAAGAAAAAAATGTTGTTCATTGTGTTTTTGGGCATTAACGTTAAAGTTTATCAATGAATCAGATTGTATCACATAGCACTAATTTTATAGTGAATCCCGGTTCGATACTGACCGTGAAGCGACCTAAAGTACTTCGATACTTAATATAGTTTGTACATTTTGCGTTTATTGTAATTTGGTTTTAAATGTGTAGGGGTGTATCATGATGGAAATTGTTGAGAAATACTCCATTTTGATCACTTTCCCACTGCATTTTGGTGTTGTTTCTTTATATCATTTTGGTAAGAGTGAGTTTAATCTTAATCATAGACATTTGACTGTATCAGAAGAATAGTTATATCAATAAACTATTCCCCACACTTGAGTTTCAGAATGGTAAAGATGCAATTAAGATGACCTTTTGTTTATTTCATTGTATTCACAATGATGGGGAAGGAAAGGGAAACAACAAATGGATACTAGTCTTTGACTATAAAAAAAATCAGTAACACTCTTCCTGGATGAATGGAAAAAGTAAGTGGCGACTCCATCTATAAATGTGTACACATATCTAGACTTATTAAGAGAGTGTCTTATAGAGTATTTTAATACTTGTTGTATATAATTTTCAAGTAAAGGTAAACTATGGCGTGAAAATGACGAAAAAAGTCGATAAACTATGGCGTGAAAATGACGAAAAAAGTTGATAGAATAGGTTATAGGATGACTCTCCAATGTCTTCATGCTTGTAAATGCTTTCGTTTTAGTTTTGTTTTGTATTAGGAAACTTCTGAATGGATGGTTCTTTAACTTAATAAAGTACCTAGTGTGGATTTTTGTCGTGTTTTCCCACTTTTTTTTTTTTTAAATGGTACATTGAATACGGTTGGCAGATCTTAGAGCATTTTTTTTTTTTAATTATAAAAGTCTTATTTTTAAATAATGATATTGATAGGTATGTGTGCAAAAAAATTGGGTTGTCGAATTTAAAAATTCATAGACTTGATCATAACTAAATCAAAATCTCAAGAATGTAACCTAAAACTTATCCAAAAATGTAATTATTTATAAACATAATTTTTCTTTTTGCTGATGGATAGTTAGAATGGTAATATTTTACTTCTAAATAAGCAGTTAATAATATAATAAAATTACCATTAATGTAATTATAACAATCAGGTTCTAAATATTCTTTTTGACATTTTAATTAAAAAAGTAAATATTGTTTACCAGATTTTTTTTTTTTTTTTTTTTTTTAATTAT